AGTCATTCCCCATTCCTCCTTTCTACCACCTCCCCACAGCTCCTGGCACCCACTTATCTGCTTTTGATCCCTGTGGATTTGCCTCTATGTGCCTATTTTGGATATTTCAAATAAACGCAATGATATAAATATGTGGTCCCTTATTGTAACAGGGTACAGCCAAGGGGGGGCCCAAATAGGGACTTGGAATGGGGTCCAGAACTCAAGCTGTCCAGGAAATATTAGAAAGATATATAGGATGCCCTCCCCTCTCCCAGCCACAGGTGTGAGATGGGGGAAGGGACATGTGGAACAGAAATGTGCAGAGCTATTTTGTACAGCAACAGCTAACCTCTGGCATGGTCATTTAACATATCTATAACCTTTCATTGGTGTCATGGATACGCTAAATAGCTGTGGCCATACTTTGAGCCAGGGGGATGGAAGTGACTTCCACCCAAGATGTAATTGGGAGGCAACTCCCCTTGCTTACAGCACCTGTGTGAGAGCTTAGAGATGATTGGCTCCATGCCATGGGGTCATGCCTGCTCAGACTCACTGTATCAGCTCCGTAAAGCTGGAAGAATACGGGAATGCTGGCAGGTGTAACCGATTGTAGGAGGAGTTGGAAATGGGGCTGTAGAGGAAGATTGGCGGGGGATTTAAACCCAGATGCAGCAGCCATTGAGGGAGAATCACGTGGCTTTGGCCAGGGTGGGGACCCCTGCAGCTCTGGGAAGGGAGAACCATACGGCTTTGGGGTGTTCCCTTTTGCCATGTGGCTTAGGAAGCAGGAGAGACTTTGCCTGGAAGAAAAGGGGGTGAAAGGACTCCTGCTGGTGGGCCATGAGAAGGTGCCACATGACTTTGGATTAGCTGGAGATCCTGGCGGCAACACAGCGGATGGTGCTGGGAGCTTGAATCTTGGACCTCTATTTCTTTTCCTGAGATACGGCACCCCAGACTAGGGCAGAGGGAGAAGGAAGGACTGTATGCATCCGTGGGTATTCTAAAGGACTTTGATATTTTAATGAACACATTGGATCACTACTTTAAGTCTGTATAGCTTTAAATAAATATTTCCTTTTCTTTTCACAAATCTCTGGCATTGAGACACATCTTTCCTCTGGTGGCGAGCATTGCAAATCTACCCGAGGGTCCTTTAGGTAACAGTATATTATACAACCTCCTTGGCCCTGTTCTGCAACATTACAGAATGACTCCTTCTACTTAGCATAATGTCTACAAGACTGATCCAAGGTGAGCATGAATCAGGACTTCCTCCTTTTCTACGGCTGAATATTTCTTTGTGTGAATATACCACATGTAGTTTATTTATCTGTCAATGGATGAACATTTGGGCTGTTTCCAATGTTCCATTATAAATAATGCTGTTATATACATCCATGTACAAGTTTTTGCTTGGGCATATATTTTCAATTCACCTGGATATATATATATATCCAGGTGTGTGTGTGTGTGCGTGTGTGTGTGTGTATAAGTTTAGAATTGCTGAGTCATATGCTTAACATTTTCAGGAACTGCCAAACTATTTTCCAAAGGAGCCCCACCGTTTTACATTCTACCAGCAGTTTATAAAGATTCCAGTTCTCCATATTCTTGCCAATATGTGTTATTATCCATCTTTTTTATTATAGCCATCCCAGAGGGTGTGAAGTAGTACCCATTTAAATTTAAAATCAAATGAGGGAGTGATCAAAAAATAGCACCTTCATTTTTGATAGCACTATACTAGAGGAGAGAGAGGATTAGCTGGGGATCCAACAGGCCTGCTAAGGCTGCACCCCTGAGTTGGCCAGACTTGCCAACCCAGACCCAGGCATCGTGGGACGACCAACCCTCACCCACCACCCCATGCACACACGGACTACCACTTACAACTGAGACCGTGGAAAAGTAGAGAGAATGTGCTCTTCCTGTAGGGAGGTGGATCTCACAAAATACAGAGAGGAAAGGACTACACGGGCATGCCCAACCCCCTTCCCACCCGGTGCCCTTCTGTCCTGGGTAGGAGTGAGTGAGGCAACAGAAGAAGCCCGGGTGAGAAAACAGCTAGGAAAGGACAGTCTCCCCATCCCAAAGTGACAAAGAGGAATAAGGTAGGGGAAGTAGGGCTGGGAGCACTGTATCCATCTATTCAACCTTCCACTGCTGTGTGGGTGGTAGTTCTTTTTATAAGCAGAAGAGAAACCAAAGAATTAGCAAGCACTTAAAGTTAATGGTTCACCTAAAAGGGTTTTAATAGAAATACATTAAATTTGAAAAGTACTTTTAAACTGTCATATAGGTGCCTAATTCTTTTATAAGCTATGAAATATTTAAAATTAACTTATTTTTAACAGGTTCATCAGCAAAGTTAATCAACAAATCAAGAAAGTGGTTACTGCGTATCACATGCAAAGCATTGTGCTAGAAACTCTAACAAAAGCTATTCCTCAGTCGGCTGCAGAACAAAAGTCTTCCCTATGTGCTTACTGATTACCTAGCAGCCAGGCTACATTACCGACTGAAGTGGTTACCCACTCCAGCTCCTTCACTTATTTCACAAGGAAAGAAGCCCTTGTAACCCACTTTCTTCTAATAAAAGTAAAGCCTAAAGCAAGAGCCTCTTCTTAGCTAGAAGAGGGAACTAGGTAGGAGCAGGGTAGTGATGAAGTAGGAAAACCTAGACAAGATTCTTCAAAGTGTGGATTCAACATTTTGTTTGAAAATTATTCCCAGAATATTTCAAATGTTCACACTTATATTTAATTTCAACGCTGAACAGGCTATTAGTGAATCTGTTTCTTTCTCATCATGTGAATACTAGTGCATACGTGTGTGTGTTTGAGTTATTTGGAAGAAAGTGTGCACAGAGCAGGCTTTTTTAACCTAGCCATTTTTAGACATTAATTTCTGGTACGCTCTACAAAGATTTCTCTCAAACAACATGGAATGCAATGTATAGTTTTTAAAAACGTGTATGTAGTAGGAGTGGAAATGTGAATTTATACAAACCTTCAGAAGGAAAAACTCAGCGTCTAACAAAAAACCTTAAAACAATATGCCTCTCTTGACCCACAAAATCCCATGACCGGAATTCATCCTTAAGCAATTATCAAAAATGTGTTCAAATGGCTGTGTTCAAATGTATGTGGAAAGCCTTTCTCTAGAGTTCTTTGCACAGTGAACAACTGGAAACAGTCTGTCTATTTCTATGGGACCTTTAAACAAATTATAGCAAATAAATAGGAAAAAATTATGCATTTTTAAAAATAAAAGTTTAGAAGATTATTTACTATATGCTAAAATGTTTGTGATATTGTCAGGTTACAACACCCTGCTGCATGACAGTGTCCACATTAACATCCTGGCTTTGGCGAGTGTTATATACAGACACAGATACAGACACGACAGACTGTTCCCATTAATTCATTATACACGAAGCAAGTTTGGGCACATGACCTGTTTGGAGAAAACGGGTCATAAACAGGAGAAGTGCAATGAACACAAAAACAAATGGCAAGGGACATTTCTTTTGCCAGAGTTGAGCCACTTTTTGTTTTAAATTTTAGTTTCAAACAACACAAGATTTGACATCTCTTGTTATTAATGATAAGGCCTCCTTTGGACACCTCGAATGACCTCTGGAAGCCCATTAGCTATTCTGCTTCTAAAATTATACACACACACACACGCGCGCGCGCGCGCGCACACACAGACACACTTCTTAGTGAGAAGTCTGGATCCAGTTACTGCAGCCTGCAAAGGTGGCTCATTTGCTGAGTCTATAAAGTTCTTGCACAGTCTCCTCTGCTCCAGACTCATGACTCAGCATCTGCAGTGCTCCCGGCACTGGCACAGGGACAGAAGCTGTGGCTGTACAAATGCCAGGAAGCACCATTCCCATGCTTGATTTAGCATTTCTGCTCACTTTCCACAGCATTCAATTTTAGGGAGATTCAAACCCCCCACCCCCAGATGCAGCCTAAGGCAAGAACAGACAGATCAGTGACAATAATATGTGGAAGTTCTTAATCTGGGGCAGAAAAGTCAAAGGTTTGGAACACATCAAATCCCAGTTTTGCCCACTGTTAATTAGACAGCTACAAACCCTGAGTGATGCCATGTCCCCCAGGCAGTATTTACAATTAAATATGTGTCTTGAGGCTGTCGGATTGTTCCCCACTGTGGTCTATTCTCCCGTGCTTGGAATATCCATGGACACCACTTTCACTCCATGGCACTCGGTGGATTTCTCCTACAGATCCGAGTTTGCATGTGGCTATTCCAAGGACTTTTACCCTGACGGGTAAAGATCACTGTGTTCCTCACGTACACTTAATCTCCTCACATACAAATAATCTGCTCGCTTCAAACTAAATCCACTTGCTCCTTATTGATCTTCCCTGAAGTGAACAAAAGTGAACCTCCAACGGAAGGGAATCAATTACCTAATCACCCTTATGTTCCAACACTTGCTGGCAGGCTTATTTTGCCCTCTCTCTGCCTTCACTTCCTCCTTTGCATGACAGGAGTAACATCCACCTCATAGAACTGTTGTGTAGGTTAAAAGGGAAGGCACTCCCTAAATTTTCCTTCCCCCACCTTCGTGGGCACTGAAGTCACTCGGATCAAATACTCATCCCAATAACCCATCCACTCCTACCATTCACTTTCTATGACCACAGCCTGGTAATCTACTAATTTAAGATGCTGATATGAAACTGTATAGCTCTTTCTCCCACTCACTTACTAAGATATTATATGTAAAACAAAACAATAAACATTTCTCTACTGGTCTAAATACACAGAATCTCAACCATTATCTTAAACATTTGTAAATTTTCATAAACTTGTCCTAAATAGATTTTGAAATGAAACATATAGAATTTTTGCACTGTTGTATAAGAGGATAGATGATTTTATTGAGATAGACATCAAAACAACGCAGCATGCACTGAACAGTCTATGATTAAGTATATTTATACTACAGGATTTCCATACACTGTCAACCATACCTTAGAGTATTGTGGTTTCCCATTTTCATAGTGAATCTCCACATAATCAGAAGACAGCAAATCACTACAAAGGAAAAAAATAGAGTGATTTCTGCATCTAAGATAGATGGAGGTTTAACAATAATCAGTTCAGTCAATGAATGTGAGGGGCAGGTGCACCACAGTCCAAATAGCTACAGTCCAAAGTGAAATGAAGTTTCATCAAGTTTCAGATGTTATCCAGCAGGAACTCATTCCTCAGTCTGTTCAAACACACAGGACATGGACAACTGAAGGGTGAACATCTTTTATGCCCACAATTCACCCCTTGATGGACATGTCAATTAACACAGAACAAACAAAAAAGGCAGGTTAGCAAGAGATTGCCTTATAAAAATCCCACTATAGTGATCTAAATAATTAGAATCTCATAAGACACAATCACCAAGAAAGAGTACAGAATAAAGGCCAACTCCCTCACACAACTATTCGACTCCGCTGTTGTAGCACAAACCAGCCACAGGCAACACAGAAACACAAGCAAGCTGCTATGTTCCAATTAGATTTCATTTATAGCCACTGAAATTTGAATTTCACACAATTTCACACACCATGAAAGAGTATTCTTCTTTGTTTTTGTTCAGCTTGTTAAAAATGTAAAAAACAACATTCTTAGCTCAAGGACTATACAAAAACAGGTATGGCTGGACTTGGCCCAAGGACAAGTAGTTGGCCCAATTTGCCAAATACTAAAATAAAAGATCAGTTAAGTATGTAGATTTTGGTGTCAGACAAAGTAGAATTCAGAGCCTAGCCAGCCCCTTCACAGCAACGTGACCATGGACAGGTTACCTGACTTAGCCTTCATGGAAACAAGGAAATGGAAACAAGAAAGAGTATGAAGATTAAATGAAAACACGTGCACAGTGCTTAGGCCAGAACTCAGCACAGAGCATATGTGCAGTGATGGCGCTGAAGCTGTCACTCTGGATTTTAACTCAACCTCTTCATATACATTCCCCCCTGTAGAACACACAGCATACAAAATATGGGCATCTAAAAGAACACAGGACTGTTTTAGGGTACTTGGATCGTCATTTGAACTCTGCTCCTAAAAATAACAAGCGGTGACTCACATTTACTATGTCCTAGGCACTGTTCTAAGGACTGTAAGGGTATTAACTCATGTAATCAGAAGGGTAACTGAAGGACAACAGAAGGTTCTAGTGCGAGCCAGATGTGCACCCTAAATGTAGGCTCCATTTCCTCTTCTGCAAGACGAAGGGCTGGAGCAGACGATTCCTCAGGTCCCTCCTTGCTCTGACAGTCTGTTTTCTATAAGTCTACCTAATGGTAGGTTTTCTTATTAAGAACTCTTGACACTACTTCTTTCACCAACACCTCAGAGGACTCGATGATTCTGCATCATTTTGAGAGCTGCACTGGATGTAGTTCTAAAATGAGCCAATGAGGAGGGCAGGAGGAGGCCCAGAGCCAGGCAGCAGAGAACCTGGGAGTGGCACCTGCAAGGGCCTGGTTCCCTGGGTGAGCTGAGGGCCAACATTTGCACCACAGAAATAAAGCACAGGCCTGTGCCTTGGACAGGTGTTTATAATGAAGTTAATCATCAAATGCGCATCTACCGATGATTCTATATTCAAAACTAAATTATGGTACATACTCATTCCCTGCTGAAGAACCTAAATAATAGCAAAAAATAACAACAATTCTTCACTCCATATCCTTGGGAATACCTGACAGGGTGCAGAAACTTCCTTCATACCTAGTTAATGAAGTCAGCAACCGGCACTGTGAATATACACCAATCGGGCCGCTGACGGTACCATTTCTCTGAGGAACACGTCTGTGACACCAGGAGACAGAGAGTCTTCACTAACTGCATGCTAATTACTTCTCTCTACAGGTAATTCATTACTTTCAAAATTCTCCACCACACAATCACTGGAGCATGTCTAAGAGTTGCAAATATAAAGTTATTTTAGTCTACTACTTTTGCTTGTAATTACAAAGGCAGATAGTTTTCTAACCATTAATTGCCAGATCTGATAAAGGTCACTTTAATTATCCTACTTCTCCTTTCTGAAGAGCCTCTCCCCACGCCCCCAATTTACATAGCTGTTTCTAAAACTGATGGCATTTGGGAATACTGAGGAAGAAAAACAGCTCCTTCTCTAGTAGCCTGTGACAGACACTGAGCGACGTAAAATCACACCATATTCTTTGCATCACCACATCCCCCCACCTCCTATAAAGAGCACATATCCCCACCGGTGCCATTCTTTCCTCCTGGCTGACCACAGCAACCCCTCCCTTAAAATTGCTGCTGTCACTCATCGCAGCGTCTCTAGCCCTCACACAATGCCCAGTGCACAGTAAGCCCAGCCAACGTGTGCTGGGTGAGCAAACATCTAGCAGCATCTACGAGATGCCAGGCCCCCACCATGAAGGGTGAATGGCTTCTAGTGTTTTAGAAAAATAACTTGAATCCCTTACTTTAAAGAAAGAACCATAGGCTCCTTCTATGGAACCTTGTTGTGAAAGACTGTAAGTGGCATAACCAAGCATGATGTTTGGAATGAGACAGCATAAGTAACAGGGCCTGGGGTTATAAAGAAGACTGCTAGGAAAGCCATACCCTGGACCACAAGGAAACCGTCTGTTCTACATAAGTGAGAGATCATTCACTTCCCTGTAAAAAATAGTCCAACTACCAGTCCCCAGAACTTCCAGTTCTGAAATGAACTGTTGAGCCCTCAGGCTGTATCTGTGATTCGAACACCAAGTAGATCGCTGGAAGCAGCACACACTGTTCTGAAGGGACCTAGAGGCCAACGGGGCATTCCTTCACCAGCAGAGCTAGGGAAAAATCTAGAAGAGTAGCAAGCACCAAGGCTTAACAACTGGGTGACCATATAATTTATCATCCAAATCAGGCCATTTATGGGAGACAAAAGAGACCCATTAATGATTATGCCAGGACAACAGACATCAATCGGAAAGGACTGTCCTGGGGAAAGTAGGACACATGTTTACTCTACTATAAAGCTCAAATGTAAGGTACTCACATCAAGTTCTACATGAAAGATCAGGCTAGTCCATGGGTAAAGGAGACCCCCAAAGCTGAGATGCTACTAAATAAGCAGTGTGTGAGTATGCCTCCTTTACCAGTTGTTTTTGGGTTCTGTGGTTGCTTAAATGGCCTCTGTTTTAAGACAATTGTGAGTGGGCACCTTAGGTTCTCTCTCTCAGAGCATAATATCAGGATGTAGACACTGGGAGAGGAGTCAACAGCCCAAGACCAAAAGCTAGAAAGCTGTGAGTCCAGTCACTCTAATACCCTGGTCTTCTCAGGTCTAGACCAGCCATTCTCCTTCCCACACAATGCCTTTGTTCTTAAGTAAACAGTACCACAAATATCCCAATTCAATTCTCGGTGCTAAAACACATAAATTCGTTTTCATAGGTATTCAAACTGGAACTGGAACAGAAGTCAATATCTATGTGAACAAAGAGTGAAAAATTATGTGTAGAGAGAAAGGAGGGCGACTAATATCCATTTTCATAATTCATGCATGTGATTATCTTTTGAACAGTGTTTAACTTCTCAATATTGGGAACCCTGATTGTTTCAAATGGTCCCTAACAGATTCACCCAGGAAGTCTCCTGCCACCCTCCCCACCAGGTCTCACATTCATTCATTTAATAACAACAAGGGCTGGCCCTATGGATAGGCTCAACTTCATGGAAAAAAATGCAGCCCTAAAGGAGCTATGTTTCTCTTCCTTTAAAAAGCATACCTTATGTTGTACAATAGTTTCTTATTTTAATAGGTGCTATATATGCATTGTAAACATTTTAGTAATTATGGGTAAACAAAAAAGTAAAAACCATTGGAAGTTTTACAGGAAGCAATAGCCCACTATTATGTTTGTGTGTATATCTCTGCAGATGTTTTTCTATGTGTGAATATAAACATATAAACATATTTTTTAAAAGTTAACATTATCATAACATTTTCTAATTTTTTCATTGAATGATGCTGTGAACTTCTTTCCCATCTTTCTGTAAAACAGATAAATCCGTTTTATAGAAAGTGTCTGTAACAACAGATAAATCTACTCACGAAACCTCTTGTATCACTTATAGAGAATAGCCATATGTGTGTATGTATTTACTCTTGTCTAATTATTTCCTCAGGAAACCTTTATAAGTAGTACTTGTAAGATTATAAAAGCTTACGTATTTAATGGGTGAACATGCTTTCAGGGCTTTGATGGCTATTGCTAAATTGCCCTCTAACAAAGACGTATTAACTCATGTTCCCAATAGTAATGTGCGCAGTGCCAGTTTTCCTCCATTCTTGCCAGCTTGGGCTACTATCATTCATTTTTATTCTCTGAAGTGATGAGGGAAAGTGGTCCCTTGTGGCTATTTGAATGTACAGGTCTTTTCCTGCTAATACAACTGTAGGTTCGTATATGATTGATTACTTTTAGTATTTCTTTTTTTCTTTTTTTGGTGAATAGCATTTTGCACATTATATTTTGTGAATTGCCTGCCCATGTCTTTTGCCCACTTTCTGTTGACTATTTGTTTTTGTGTGTTTTTGGCTCCTTATGTGAAGGATAGCAATCCTTTGTTTATATATTTTGGAAATGTTCTGTCTTGCCTTGAAATTTTGCCTTGAAATTTTATGTGTGGTCTCTTTATAACTTATGTAAATTTAAGAAATTTTTAAAGTCATCTTTTAAAAAATGATTTGTGGATTTAATGTAATGCTTAAAACAGTGTCTCCTTAACATTCAGCTATACTTCTATAGTAAATTTATAGCTTTATTTTTAAACCTACATATCTTTAATGAGTATATTATTACTTTGGTATAAGATTTGATGTAGGGATCTAATTTTCCCAAAATGTTTTGTCACTTGTTCCAAACATACTTATTTTTTATTTACCGCACTTTTCAGACTATAAAATGCACCCCCCCCAATTTGGGAGGAATAGTGGTTGTTAATGCAGCTGTTGAGTTCTGTTTACACTTACATTGGTGAAATATTATGCT